ATAGTTCAGCAGTGAAAAGTGTTTGCTACATTTGCAAAGAACCTGAATTCAGATCCTAGCATTCATGTCAGGTGACTCACAGCTACCCAAATTTATATAAACATGCCTACATACACATGAAAATATACAAAATACATTTAAATTTCTATAGTAATCATGTCACTCAAATACCTAGGAATAATCTTAAGATACATGTAAATACTACAAGATGAAAACTTTAAAACACAACAATGGGACATCCAAGACTTAAACTTATAGGAAGATTCTATATTATTAATACAACAATCACCAGGCATCAGTGGCACATGCCTTTGGTTCCAGCACTTGGGAGGCAGAGGCAGGCAGATCTCTGTGAGTTCAAGGCCAGCCTGGTCTACAGAGCAGTTCCAGGACAGCCTCCAAAACAATACAGAGAAACCCTGTCTCAAAAAAGAAACAAACAAAAAAGAATAATAATAAATAAATAAACACTGTTCCTCCAGTCTATAAATAGGTGATTCTGCTAGGTGGTAGAGGCACATTCCTTTAACCCCTGCACTCAGGAGGCAGAGGGATGACAATCGGGTCTCTGTAAATTCAAGGCCAACCTGTTCTAAAACCAAGTTCCAGGACAGCCAGGGCTTCACAAAGAAACCCGGTCTCAAAAACCAAAACCAAACAAAATAAGCCCAGCAGTGGTGGCACATGCCTTTAATCCCAGTGCTCAGGGGGGTGGGGCACAGAGGCAGACAGATCTGTGTGAGTTCGAGGCCAGCCTGGTCTACAGATCGAATGCCAGGATAGGCTCCAAAGCTACACAGAGAAACCCTGTCTCAAAAAACCAAACCAAACCAACAACAACAAAAAAAAAAAAAAAATGGTATTTCAATAAAAAAAAATAACATCAATAAAAGAGAAAAGTAAATTGTGGGAAGTTCTCACAATATAATATGACACAGCAAGGAGAATGACAAAAATTTATATAAGGTTGAATCTTATTGAAATAATTTGAACACAGGAAGCCAGACACTAAAGAGCGACTGCATCTTGAGGGGAGTAATGATGAGAAAGGAACTCATGAGTGGCTTCTGACAACACTGGTAATGTTGCTTCTTGATTTGATGCTGGTTACAAAAAAATATCTCATTTTTGAAAGTTCATTAAGATATATATGTAATGGCCATGTATGGAAACTCATGTCCTAGTCTCACAACTCTTGAGGATGAAACAGGAGTATTACCTTGAGTTTGAGACCATCCTAGACTACATAGTGACTTCCTAGCCAGCCTGAGCTACAGAACAAGATTCTGTCATGAACCAACACAAATGTACATTTATCATTTCTACATGTACTATGCATCCATTTAAAAAATGTGTCAAAATACATAGCATGTACCAATTTTTAAAATAGTGTAGTATTAGAATATGAATAGATCAATGGGAACATAGGCTTACAGAGAGGGCTAGAAAGGTGGTCCAGTTATTAAGAGCACTTCTTATCTCTCGGGACCTGGGTTTGATTCCCAGCACCCACATGATGGTTCACAACTATCCATAACTCTAGTTATAGGAGATCTGGCATCTTCTAGCCTCTTCAGGCACCAGGCATGCACGTGGTACACAGACATGCATGAAGATAAAATACACATGTAAAATAAAATAAATAAGATAGACTAAAAGACATTTGAGGATTATAAAGGTAATATTCAAAAGCTATACAGAAAGTTAAGAGTTGGGTAAACCAAGCTTCACATCTTTCTCACATCTTTATGCCATAATAAACTCCAGAAGAATCAAGATTTACACATTCAAAATGCCTTTTTAAAGGAAATAAAGAGCTCTTAAAAATATTTTTAAGTAGTGAGATACTTTTCTAAATTGACATGAAACCAAAAAGTTATAAAAAAAAGTATTGATAAATTCAACAACATAGAATTACTGGAGCTGTGGAGATGGTGCATTCAGCTAAAGGCCTGCTCTGAAAAGACCCAAGGTGGGTTCCCCAGCACCCACAGAAAAAGCCTAGTGTGATGATGCCCCTGGGGAGTGAAGGGACCAGCTGGCCTAGCCTAAACACCAGTTCCAGTGTAGTAACCTGTCTAAGTGGGGCTTTAGACAGATCCAGCCATTGGACTTGCCCAGTTCGTGCCTATGAAGGGGGGTTGTGGATTGGGAAACAGCAGGTAAAGATACTAAGGAAGAGATACGCAGAATAGACTCAGAAGGGCAATCCAGTGAATACTGAATGCCCCAAGTTTATTCTTCAACATTTGCAACATTTTTTTTTTTCCAGACAGGGTTTCTCTATGTAACAGCCTTAGCTGTCCTGGAACGAAACTCTGTTTATGAGTGCTGGGATTAAAGGTGTGTGCTTATTATTCAATATTCTTAAGTACCCTAACAATAAAGGGGGAAATGGCAAAAGATTTCTTTATCAAGACACAAGGAAGAAACAGACTTTCTTCCTTAATTCTCCAAACATTTGGTAACCACACCTTAGACTAAATCTCTCACTATCTGGCCTTGAGGGTTAAGAGTAACCATACCTCAGACCAAGGCTCTTGTTATTAAGGTAAGAGATCTACCCCTAAGACCAAACATCAGTAGCTCTGCCTTAGATCTTTAAGTTTAATGACTTTAACCTTGGAAGAGTAAGGATAGTTTTGAACTCTCTGACCTTAAGCAAAGATGTACAATGAACAAATATTATGATTCAATTACCAGTAAAACATTAATAAAGCATGGGAACTAATTACAAAAAATACAATTGCACATAAACATATTACATGCAACCCTACTTATAATGAAATGAAAAATAAAATTGAAATGACATAATTTCCACTATCAGATTTTCAAAAAATATCCAGATGTGTGACAACATATGGTTTAAGTATGCTATCAAGACCAGGTGATGGTGGCACATGCCTGCTTTTAATCCCAGCATTCAGGAGACAGAGGCAGGCAGATCTCTGTGAGTTCAAGGCCAGCCTGGTCTAAAAGAGCTATTCCAGGAGACAGCTTCCAAAGCCACAGAGAGACTCTGTCTCAAAAAAAAAAAAAAAAAAAAAAAAAAAAAAAAAAAAGATGCTATCAAACTGGTCCTTTTCAATGAATACCTGATAGGTGTGAAACTTTCTAAACATCTGTGGAAGACTATCTAGCAATACTAAATCAAATCTTTTTCAAATATTGTTAATTGAATGAAAATTGGAAAAATCTTTGCACAGCTGTGTACATCCAAATGAAGTAACAAGTCACACTTCTTTTGAGCTATTTCATTCTCAAGTGTTTGCCATGGAGATATAGTCATATAAAAGCAAAATGAATCTGAGCATGGTGACGCATGCCCAGCTGGATTTCTGAGTTGAAGGCCAGCCTGATTTACATAGAGAGCCCCTGTCTCAAAACATAGCAAACAAACAAAATTGATCTACACAGGGAGTTCCAAGTCAGCAAGAGCTACATAGACATACCTTGCCTTAAAAATGTTTTTTTTTTTTTTTAAATACAAAGTGAATTATGTTTGAAAATGAACATGTTAAAGTTCTGGTCTACATCCATGTCATATCAAGATTGAACTATGAGACATGGAGATATTTTGTGTGGAAAACTTTCTAGATTATATAAAAAGAAAGTTACTAAATTATATGTATAGCATGTTTCCAACTGTGTAAAAAAATACATTTACATGTGTTTTAACTATGGAATGGCATGTGCAAATTTTCCCAAGAAACTGGTTGTACTGTTTTGCCTCTAAAAAGACATTTTCTGCAATAACCTTTGGTTACTTGTGAATCTCCTAGAAGGTGCACGTATTATTTATAAGTCGAGCATGTCTGTACGTCCCAGGTACTCAAGAACTTGAACAAACAGAATTTGAGGACAACCTGGGCAACATAACAAGCACCTGTCTCTAAAATAACAGTAATAACAATAATGGAAAAACTGACCCAAAGACATCTGAATGACCAGACACAATGTTGTAGTCACTTAACAAACATTTATTGAGTATTCATCCTGCTCCAGGCATGACAGACGATAGTTCAAAACAATCTCCCGGTGTCTGGGTGCAACTGTGCCCTCACCACAGTAAGAAGGGAGTAGAAGGGCCAACCGTTCCTAACGGTCCGGGAAAGACCCAGTCGGCGGCTGGAATTCAGTTTTTCAAGCAAACTGTTGTTTGCCAAAGCCTCCCCTTTTCATGGGCTATAATCAGGGCAGGCGGGTGCGCTCAACCCGCAGCTCCCTCACCCGGGTGGCCACCGTGACTTTCTGTCCACGTGGAGGGCCCAGGGCTCGCCGTGCAGTCCGCCCCCATTTCACTCCTTTAAACATAGTTGTTTTCCTGTCCCCTGGCCAAGATGGCGGTGGGGAACGATCCAGGCAGAAATTTTGTTTTGTTTTTTGTTTGTTTGTTTTTCGAGACAGGATTTCTCTGTGTAGCTCTGTAGACAGGCAGGCCTCAAACTCATAGATCCGCCTGCCTCTGCCTCCCGAGTGCTGGGATTAAAGGCGTAAGCCACCACCATCCCAGGCAGATATTCTTAATTGGTAAGTGGAGCCGCACCGCCCATCACGAAGAGGCTTTCCCGAGGCCAATAAACTGATTTCAGTAGAGCCGGGAACGCCCACGAGTGATCCAAGCCCCGGAGCCTCGGAGCGCCCAAGTCCCTGGCGGATTGAGGCCATGCTCAGAGAAGATCCGAGTACTACAGGAGCCTTCAGTTGGTTATTTAATTCTCAGCAGGTGTAAGGTCCATTAACAGCATCTGCTTCCCGCTGCTCTAACTGGCTAGTGAGGTGGGCTGGCTCGGACTTTTCATCCGGGTAATTGGACTTCAGAGCACATCGGCACACGTCGCTCACGGCAGCCCGTGCAACGATTGGCTGTGGCGTGGGAGCGCGATTGGTCAGACTTCAAGACAGGCGTTGATTGGTCCTGACGCGCCGCGGGGGCGGGGCAAGAGGCTGCTAAATAGCCGCCTGCTAGACTGCTGCGCTGAGGTTGCGAAGGGGCAGCGCAGTGAGGTGCGAGGCGAAGACGCGGGACTCCGGACGAGAGGGGAAGGTAAAGGCGGAGCTCGAGAGAGGGGTTCAGAGCTTGGGAGAAGCTGCGTGGTGGGCAGCCTGGCAACTGGGAGGCAGAAGTGCTGGGTTGAGGACGGGACGCGTGGGGTGAGGGTAGGGTCCCGGGGTCCCGCGCGGGTCACCGTCTGGGGCACCAGTGCTGGAAGCTAGTATAGGCTCTGACCCCAGGGTCTAGTCCCCCAGGACGGGTAGGACACTCGCCACAACTGTTTGCACTCCTAGACTGGCTTCTTTTGAAACGAGGGCCCTTTTTATTAATTTGCCTTTTACCTTCCTCAATTTAGTCTTTGCAGCTGCAGGATATTTCGTTATTTATTTAGTGACAAGGTCTGTTAAGGTGGTTTTGAACTCGAGCTCCTCCAGCCTTTCCTTCAAGAGAGATGGGAGTACAGGAAAGCGCAATAACCCCCTACTTTGAATAATTTTTCCTGTAGTCTTCCTTGCTCTTTGTGAGATGTAGCACTACTAATAAAAAAAAAAAACTCAGTGACCGATAATGGGGTTAGAGCTAAAGATAAGAGAAGCAAAGTAGCCAGCCACTAGAGTTCTCACCAATGTTCAGGTCGAAAGGGCTATCCTGTCCTCAGACTAGACCTGTCTCCACCAAACCTTGTGCCAGGATTAAAGGCATGGGATCCCAAGTACTGGAATCACCTTTATGAGCTTGTTCTGTTTTACATTGGATCAATATCGTGGTAGACTGGATCAATTTCGTTGTAGTTCAGGGTGGCCCTGAAATATCTGTCTGCCCCCTGCCAAAGTGTGAACCACCACTGCCTGGCCTCTATGACTAATGTGGCTACGGGGATTAAAGGTGTGTGCCACCATTGCCTGGCTTCAGCTCCTTCTGCCTCCACTTTCTTGGTGCTTGGGTTATAAGCATGTGCTTCCACACTAGGCTCAGTCCTTATCAGTGTTGAAGTAAAATCCTGTTGGCTTACCTGGTTTGAGTTCATTAACCCATTCCTTAACATAGCAATCTGTAACTCAATACAAATGTGTAGTATTTGAAGTTAGATTTGCCTGTTGGTTCAAATGGATATCAGTTAACCTGTCCTTGTGACAGGACAAAAAATCAAACAGGTTTTCTCTATTGCTTTGGAGCCTGTCCTGGAACTAGCTCTGTAGACCATGTAGAACTTCTTCCCGAGTGCTGGGATTAAAGGCTTGTGCCACCAACTCCCAGCTCAGCTATGAGACCTTAGCAAAGTCCATATATATGTATATATATATATATGTGCCTCAGACTTAACCTATTTGTAACATGAATAGAACAAAATAATCTTTATGCTCCATTCTTTGCCATATAACATGGATTGTGAGACCAAAACTAGCATGAAAGGAGACATGAAAATACACAGGACTAGATTTACTTTGATTTCCCCTAGGGTATCCACACCTCCCCTGATGTTCAGAAAAGCTTGCTTAAATGTAGCTAAGTTTGTCTTGGCAGGTAAATGCTCTATCTTTTCCTAAGATTTATCTTAGATTTATGCATGTATGTCAAAGAGTCATCTCTTGGAGTGAGTTACCTGATGGTGTTGGGAATCCAGCTCAGTTCCTCTTAAGAACAGAAGACACACTAAACCACTGAGATGGCTTTTCTGTTCTGCCTTATCTAGGAATTAAACCTAAAAGGTTTTAACTTCTCTTTATTGTTTTGACAATGTTTTGTTTTGGTTGGTTTGGGGTTTTTGTTTTGCAGAGTTTTTCTGTAGCTCTGGCTGTCCTGGAATTTCCTTTGTAGACCAAGTTAGCCTGGAAATCCTCCTGCCTCTGCCTCCTGAGTGCTGGGATGAAAGGTGCTTCCTACCACTCTGCCAGAGCAGGAATTTGTGTTTAACTATATTAGTGCATCATGTGCATACAGTACCCATAAAAGCCAGAAGAAGGCATTGGATCCTCTAGAGCTGGAATTACAAACAGTAGTGAGCTGCCAGGTTGATAATGGGATTCAAACCTAAGTCTTCTGCAAGAGCAGCATGTGCTCTTAAAAACACTGAGCCATCTCCATCCCCAGAGCAGGAATTCTAATTGTTCCTTCTACCCTCAGCATATGTAGTACTGGCAGTATTTAACTGAACCAGGAGCTAAAAGAACAAAAATTTTCTAGACATCCAAAGTAAATTCAGAAGTCAATATTTGGAAAACCTCCTTTATGAAGCCAAACATGTTTCTTTTCCTTACATATAAAGATGTTTGTATAATACACAAAATTTTATTTACTGGCTGTTGACTCCAGTGATTTTTTTTGGGGGGGGGGGGGGGGGGGGGGGGGGGAATGTACCCTACAAAAAACACAAGAACCTTAGGCCACATAAATTCAACTTCTCTTTCCCCTAGAAGGTATGGGTAGAGTGAAGTACTGGGAGACTAAAGCAGGAGGGTCCAGAGATCAGACCAGCCTGGGAAGCCCCGATGTGGGGAAGAAGGGAGATTAGGTCAGTAATAGAATACATCCATAGTATCAACCATTCTTCCCTCAAAATGAGTTTGGGTGGGTGGTTAGAGAAAGACAGTTTTCCCTCAGTATTAATGTTTAGTGGTATACTAAATCTAAGTAACTGTCCTAAATTGACAAGACTTCTGAATGTTCAACATAATATCCCCCACCTCAGGCCATAAGTCTGATCAAGACTGATCAAGAGGGCAGATTAAATTTGTTTAAAACTACTGCCTGCCAAGTGGTGATGGTGTACATACACCTTTAATCCCAGAACTTGGGAGGCAGAAGTAGGCATAGGCTTGTCTCTTTTGAGTTCCAGACCAGTCTGGTCTAAGTGCTAGTTCCAGGACAGGCTCAAAAGCTTCACAGGGGGACCTGGCTAGTTGTTATGGCTGCTGTCTTTATCCCAGGCAGAGGCAAGCAGATGAGTTCAAGACCACCCTGATCTATGGAGAGTTCAGAAAAATTACTGACTAGGAAAAGACTTGGTAAACCTGGACTCTATGAATTTTATTTCATTCTGGTCAGAAAAGACCAAGATATAAAAGTGCTTATTTATACAAGCAAGCTTCTGTAGTTGTTTGTGGTGGTGCTAAGCTTCGGACCTTGAGACACAGGTATAAGAACTCTACCAGATGCCAATTGTAACCCTTAGTAGGAAAACAAATCCCACTCTAACCACCTTACCAGTCTATCCACTCCTGGGAGTGAGGTTTCCACACTAGCCTCTTGTCTTCATTTTTCCTTCTCGGTCCAGTGAGAACACAATTAAGCCAGTTGTATTCATAGGCTCTCTATGATGTGTATAAAACTAATTTTTTCAAGATAAAGATATTTTAATTTCACATGTGCACTGTATGCATACATGATCATACGTTGTTCATGGTCTCATGTGTATGTGTGGATACTTGTGCATGTGGAAGCCTAAAGTTGACACCAAGTATCTTTCTCAATTTACTGAAACAGGATACCTCACCCAGAGCTCCCCATTTCTGGCTAGTCTAGCTAGCCATTTAACCCCAGGAATCCAGTCTGCCTCTCAAGTGCTAGGATTAAAGATAGCCACTGTACCTGAGTTCACATAGGTTCTGGGTTATTATCTGGGTTGAATTTTTGTAACATTTACTCCTATTTAAATAGTTGTTATTAAACTACATTATGGCCCAATACATATATCATGCCTTTAATCCCTGTACTCTGGAAGCAGAGGCAAATGGATCCCATGAGTTGTAGGACAGCCTGTCTGATCTACATAGCTCCAGACTAGCCAAGGCTACATGAGAGTCTGTCTCATTTTTTTTTTTTTTTAAAGAAAGCACACATATTTGGGTTTCCTTTTTATTTCTTTAAGGCAGAGCCTTACTGTGTAGCCCTGGCTGATCTGTTATTCTGCCTCAATCTCCCAAGAGCTGGAATTACAGAGGTAAGCCACCTTGCCTGACCACATTATGGTTGGTATATCCTGTAATGACATGTAATTTTACCTGTTTTCTACCAGTGTTTATTTTTTTTTATTAAAGTTGACCACACTAAAGAACTATGACATATTGTTACCCTGTCTGTACCTTTTTAATTAAAAGGAAAATTAAGAATGAACTTCTGAAATCACTAGACTAGACATTTTTTTCTTGAATATTGAATAACTTGTGCATATAAAGTGTTTAGGATAGTAGCTACTGGTACTAGTAAAACCTATTTTAGAAGAAGCAGGATAACAGACACTTACTGTGAAGTAAGTAGTGTGACCTGCATTAGTCAGCTCTAGGAATACCTAAAGCTTCAGAAGGTAGTATTGTTTTTATTGGCATCTGTGTAAGAATCAAGTGGCCTGACCATGGAAATTTGGTCCAGTCTTATGCTTGCCTCCCTGGCACTGGGCACACTTTTTGGCTTTCCAACATCATCCATTTTTAATACATTCTAAGCTGCACAACACCACAAATGCTTTGACCTGAAAATGGATATATGTATTTAGGAATTATAGTTTTCAGGGGTAAAGTGAAATGTGTGTGTCTATATATGAAACAGACTTTTTTGCTTTGGTTTTTTAAAGACAGGGTTTCTCTGTGGCTTTTGAAGCTGTCCTGGAACTAGCTCTTGTAGAGCAAGCTGGTCAGAGAAATAATTTTTGATAGTGCTTTTGAAATGGGATTTTTCTGTTTTGGTTATTTTTTTATCTTTTTTGAGACAGGGCTCTCTATTCCTAGCTGTCCTGGAACTTACTCTGAAGGCCAGCCAGGCTGCCTTTGAACTCAGAAATCCTCTTGCCTCTGCCTCCTGAATGCCAGGATTAAAAGCGTGCACTACCACTGTCTGGTTTTAGTAGTGGGTGTTTTGGGCTTTTTATTTTAATAGGATTCTCATGCCTCTCTGCCAACAAGACAAAATTGGTGGCAGAAAAGTACTTCTTATGCTTGTTTCAGAATATAGCAGAAAATGGCAACTGAACAAACTTCGTGGACAAGCTTTTCTACTATTCAAAAAGTAGCCCTAGCCCTGGGAATCCCGGCAAGTGCAGCAATTGCCTACATCCTATACCGCCGATTTAAGGAAAGCAGAGGTTGGTAATTCCATGCAGTGCCTGCAATAAATAGTGTTCATCTTTTTAAGTTGTCACACCATTACTATTTGTTAAATAGTTCATTTTCTGTGAAATGTTTTGAAGTCATTTTTTTATTGGAAAGCTAGTGTTTGAAAGGAACTTATAATTAATTTTTGAATATATATACTCATTCTGCTGCTTCTCTTCAGCTGTCAGAAAGTAGACCACAGCTGGACCCCAAAGAAATGATTTGTATAAAAGTTTTTAGACTAATGAATGCCTCAGATAATCTCTAGCCTTTATTGTTCTATAGGAGTTATCTTAGAGTAGCATCCTAAAAAAACTCAAACTTTTCTTCTCCAGAAGCTTTTTCTTTTCCATTTTAGCATCTGAGATAGTATCCCAAAGAAAATGCCAAATTATCTTTGGAGGAGGAGAGAACTGGGGATTGAAGTTGCCCTTGTGTATACACTGTAGCCTTACTTCTGATCTGTTACACTCAGGCCCAGCTCTGGTCTTTGGGACCTTCTAATTCCCACTCAGATTCCATGTCTTGCATTGTGGTTGAGATCCACAATTTGTCTCTTGGATTAGCATCTCTGACAGTCCGACTCAGGGGAGGGAGAGTAGCAGTAGCTTTAGTGTATTTAAGTTAAGTCTGGCCTGTTGTGGTCTACACAGAAGAACGATTGACATTTGTTGGAGAAGATGATATTGAGATAGAGATGCGAGTTCCCCAGGAGGCTGTGAAACTCATCATTGGTCGACAAGGAGCCAATATTAAACAGGTGAGTATGTGATCAAGGTGGCTTTCCCAGGTTTCCTCTGACCACATTACACAGAACACACATGCTGCACATTGAAAGAAAAATCTTTACTGGTGATGTGGGTCATTGCTTAAAGTACTTATTAGCTCTGGGAGGGCCTGGGTTTGTCCCCTAGCAGAAAAATAATATTTGCTAATCCATACTAGTCAGAGCAAATGAGTTATAAACACAGAGAAATGGTTTTAAGTTAACTACTGTTCGGGTCACCTTTGTTACTAATGTTCATGCATAAATACAAGTAAATGAGGGCCGTTGATAGTTTCTTAAATTACAGTCTTAGTCCAGCTCCACCTGCCTCCAGGTTTGATAGAATGTCATTAACTAGGCCCTTCTCTCTGCAGCTGCGGAAACAGACAGGTGCTCGGATTGACGTGGACACAGAGGATGTAGGCGATGAGCGAGTGCTGCTGATCAGTGGTTTTCCTGTTCAGGTGTGCAAGGCTAAAGCAGCAATTCATCAGATTCTGACAGAGAACACCCCGGTTTTTGAGCAACTATCGGTCCCCCAGCGATCTGTGGGCAGAATCATAGGTACCACTGGACGGCATCCTCTTTATTTACCTTTTCTGTCTTCCCACATTCCCCTTCACTTTAGGGAGTAAGACACATGGTATGAGTGGGCTCAGTAGATAAACAGCTAAGCTTGGCAACTTCATATGAGGCCCCACATGATGGAAGGAAAGATCCAAATTGCCCTCTGACCTCCAAAGATGCTGTGGTACACCCTGGTTCATACAAACTGCACATGTACAAACAAAATAAAGATTTACTTCTTTACATGCCAAGACAGGCTCCAAAGCCACACAGAGAGACTTTTACTGGTGGTAAATGGAGGCTTTTCTCTCTGTCCTGCCCAGTCCTACAGCCATTTCCAAATAACCATTTGACCTGATTATAAATGCTTGGCTGATGGCTCAGACTTTTTCTAACTAGTCCCCGCGTTGGGTGCCAGATAAGGTGACAATCCACAGAAGTATAAGGGATGAAATGGAAATACAGAATGAAGTGCACCGCTGCTGAAAGCTCCAGACCAGGTTACCTAGCAGTGCCATCAGGAAGCCTTCCACGTCCAAGAGAACATGGGGCTCTCACACCACACCAGTCAGGCCAAACCATTCATTCCATTATTAGACCAAATGGCCAAATTCCCACAACATCCCACTAGAAATGAAGATAGTGATCCAGGGTCCTTGTTAAGTTTCTCCCTGGACCATTCCTTAGTGCTGCTATTAACATATATCCTGTCCTCAGCCCATGGTTCTGACATACACTATACCATGTCTTTCAGATGAAAATAGAAAGTGTAGCCAAAATGTGGGAATGTCCTGAAGTTAATATGTCCAAAATATAAGTTTAAATAAAATGGTTAAGACAGTCCTTTATTTTCTTTTCTCCAGTAATTGATTATAAGAACTGGCTTCATTTTGTAATACATACAAAACAGTGATTTCTCTTATAGTGAATGTTGGACTAAGGAATAAGATATTTTCTGTATTAATATAGGGAGAGGTGGCGAGACGATTCGTTCTATCTGTAAGGCTTCTGGAGCCAAAATCACTTGTGATAAAGAATCGGAGGGAACATTGCTACTGTCAAGACTTATAAAAATCTCAGGAACACAAAGGGAAGTGGCAACCGCCAAGGCAAGTATACCTATGAGGGTGGCCGTCCTTTCTGGCCATCACATAGTATCTGGCTACACAGAAATGAAAATAATAACCCATCTCTTCTTTCTCACAGCATCTGATCCTGGAGAAAGTGGCAGAAGATGAAGAACTTCGAAAAAGAATTGCCCATTCGGCAGAAACCAGAGTTCCACGAAAGCAGCCAATTAGTGTGAAAAGAGAGGCAGTGACGGAGCCAGGCGGAGCGGGTGAAGCAGCTTCATGGAAGAGTACAAGTTCTAGCATGGGGCCCGCTGTACCCCTAGAGGCTCCTTTCTATCAAGGTAGTGGTGATATGGTTGCAGGACCAAAAGAAGTTTCCTGGGAGAAACCTGATGACAACCTTGAGAATTTTGGTGCCCAGAGCAGTCCAGAGCCATACATGTTTCAAGGTATGTAATGAGAAGAGAAGCCTATTTATTAACCATTTGAAAGACAAGAATACTGGATTAACTGACCTCAAAATAGGAAACAATTAAAAATTCTGTTTTGAGATTTCCATCTCAGTCATCATAGATAGATAATGCCTTTCTGCTAATGCATTAATAATTTTCTGAGTACAGCTAATGGAAAAAAAAATGTTCAAAAGGAAACATCTGAGTAATCAAAATTTTATTAGTCTCACATATTTTGTGTACGTGCATGTATTCATGCGGGGATGGGATGTGGGATATATATTCATGCGAATGCATGTGCATGGAGGCTAGTAGTCTTCAGCTAGTGTGTTCTGTAGGAACTGTTCACCCCTTTTGAGCCTTCTTTCACTGGGGCCTGATTAGACTAGATTGGCCACTGAATCCCAGGGATCCCCAATCTCTACCTCTTTGATTGGTTGAGATTACAAGTATATGCCATACCATGGTTTTTATGTGAGAGCTGGGGACAATCCTCATGCTTGTATGGCAAGTACTTTATTATTAGCTGAACAATCAATCCCAGCCCTACACATAATGTTCTAAGTTACTTTAAATCATTTTATTTTGTCTTGAATTTTAATGTATCTTGATAGCTCCCCTAACACACAACTTCTCCCAACTTCATTTTAGAACCCACTGAGCCCAATTACTGATACCCATATTTGCATGGGTGTGGGGCCATCCACTGGGCATGGGTAAACAACCTACAAGTGGATGCATTCCCAAAGGATAGTGCCTGCCTCCCCTACCATCTAACAATACCAATATTTCCTTAACCGGGCATAGGGATCTTATGTAGGTGACTGTAACTTCTGTGAGGTTGCTATCTTTTTCTGTTGCTAAATACTCCTATATCTAGGCATACTTTGCCTGTCTCGTTATTTCTATCTAAAATATCATTATTAAAGAATGAATTGGCCATGGGCTTCCTCTTCTGCACAGGTGCTAACTTGAACAAGAAAGATCAGAACCCACAAAAGAAGCTTGCCTAAGTTCACAATATAAATGGTAGAAAGAATCTGTAATAAGCAGAACTGCTATCTGTTTCCTTATTGATCCTGTCAGGCCTAACAGAAGAAGGCTTAACCTTTACTATAATTGCTGCCTCATTTGAGTTCATGGATAATGGACAATGTAATATAGATAATGACTTGGTTGTAGAGAAAGATATAGGATATAATTAGTACCTTTCTTTAGGGCATTTTTGTATGAGTAACAAATTATCACTCTAAACATTTCTAAACTGGTAAACAGCCACTGGGTCTTTGTATCTTTCATCTTCCTGATGCAGTATCCCCCATTCCAACCAAAGATGATACTAATAGTATCATTATACTTACCCTGTGTTCAGTTCCCAGTCCTGACTTCAGTTTCCATGCCGATGAGTACTTAGAAGTCTACGTTTCTGCTTCTGAACACCCTAACCACTTTTGGATCCAAATCATTGGCTCCCGCAGCATCCAATTGGATAAACTTATCAATGAGATGACCCAATACTATGAAAATAGTCTGGTGAGTTGCTACAGGGAGAAAGTTAGGCTGGGGTTTATTTATATTTAACTGTATGTAAAATGTTCCTTTCTGTTCTCTATTAGCTACCAATTCATAACACCCCTTTTGACTTCCCATCCCCACACATAGCCTGATGAAGATTTGACTGTGCAAGTAGGAGATGTTGTGGCGGCACCTTTACCTACAAATAGCACCTGGTATCGAGCCAAGATTATTGGAACCCTGGAAAATGGGAATTTGGACCTCTATTTTGGTGACTTTGGAGATAATGGAGAGTGCCCACTGAATGATCTCAGGGCTCTCAGGTGAGTGCAGAGTTGTGTGGAATCTGCTGGCATCCCAACTGTTGGCTCACTTCTGATAAAGTGGTGAGCTGTTGGCATGGCATATCATCATGGAGATTTAGAAAGGAACATGATACCTGGGATTCTAATTTCAATTTATTTAATTTTAGGAGTGACTTCCTGAGCCTTCCTTTTCAAGCCATAGAATGCAGTCTTGCACACATTGGCCCCTCAGGTAAAACAGTCATACCACCTATTTATCAACTAACTCTCATGCAGCATGCCAGACAGAAACTTGCCTGGCAAGTCAGATCCAAACCCAAGAACATTCTTGAAATATATCCTGGATGTATTCCTGCTCTTATCAGCACTGAGGCTCAGTCCCTTTTTCCCTCTTATTTCAGGTGAACGGTGGGAAGACGAAGCTCTAGATGAGTTTGAAAGACTCACTCACTGTTCTGGCTGGAAGCCATTGGTGGCCAAGATTTCTAGCTATGTCCAGACTGGAGTCTCAACTTGGCCAAAAATCTATTTATATGATACCAGCAATGGGGAGGTAAGGAAGAGAGTGAGGTTCATACATTGCTTTGCTATATTTTCTATATCTGAAAGATCTGACCATCTCATCCCATTTTGGTTGCAAATTTGTTCTCCCTTACAACAGAGCATCATTCGTTGTATTCTCTCATTTTTCCTTTTCAGCAACTTGATATTGGACTAGAATTAGTTCGTAAAGGATATGCAGTTGAACTTTCTGGATATGAATGTGTGGAAGATGTAGGAACTGTCCCAGATACATTGAAGGACATAGTGAGTCTGGGAAATCCAGTGTTTTGCCTATCTTTACACCATATGCATGTGCCAAAGGGTGTTGGTGTTCCTGGAACTGGACAGTTGTGAGCTGCATGTGGATTTTGGTAACTGAACCTGGGTCATGTGGAAGAACAGCCAGTGTTCTAACCTGTGCCCATGTCTGTAGCCCCTAATTAGTTTTTATTGTATCTTTATACATTGAATCTCCCGAAGGTGAAGTAAAAAAGGAGGTTGTCATCTAAGTTGGGTGCTGGGAATCTGACTTTGGTCCTCCAGAAAAGTAATATGTGCTCTTAACCACTGAGTCATCTCTAGCCCCATTTCACCAACTTTAATGTCATCATGAGCACCTTTAGATAACTTCCAGAATGATTAAATGTGATCAAAGACCTTGTCTTTCTCAGTTTGAGAAACTTTCTCAGATTGAGCAACTGCCTTAACCAAACCTGTGATCAAAATGACAAACAGGCTTCTCCCTTCTCACCAGTCAAGATACTTTCCTTTTTCTCTCCTTCTATGCCCTAAGGCCACAGAAGATGCTTCTCTTGCCAGCATATTCAGTGACACCAAAGAGATCCCTGAAGAGTTACCACATACTCTGTCCTGCTTTAGCATGTCAGGTACAAACAGCAATATTGTCTAACATCATCTGTGAAAGTTACTTTTTCTTAGTCTGTCCAGATGAGGGAGGTTAGTTTCAGCTCAGTTCTGGGACTGGGGAAAGTGACTTGGTTGGTAGAGTACTTGACTAACATGCACAAACTCTGGATCCGGTCCTCAGGACTTCATAACACTGGAGGCACACATGCCTATAATTCATTACATCATTGGTAAGTGGAGGGAGGTGCATCACAGGGTCTGGGTCATACAGCTCAAATAGTTTGAGACCATTGCATGCAACCCTATCTAAAAAAAACAAAGCACCAACTGCCCATTTTCTTGCTGAGCTTCACCTGCTGAAATAAAGCAATATTATGATCTCCTTTCTGCTCACTAGAAGCTGCCTCAGTGTCTGGTGATGATAACCTTGAAGACGACTTTTTCTGAAGTCTGGGCTGCAGCTGCTGGACCAGCCCTCTGCTTTGCAGTGAGTGATGCTGTTCTGTCATCTGTCTGTAGCAGCAGGACAATGAGGGTGACAAGGGCCTTTGTTCTTCCATTGCTCTGCTCTTTTTTTGTGTATTAAGTCTTTTTTGTTTCTGTCTTTGGCAGGATTTGGTGCCAGGAGAAAAGTCTATGATAGAGATAGTCCTTTATTTCACATGGCATTGGCTTGCTGTGAATTAAATCCATTTTTCTGTTCCATTGGACTACCAGAAAGTGACAGATGGAGATAGATTTCTCCACGGCTGTTTGGATGCTGCTGTGTAATTCCCAGCCTCTTCATATCAGGTTCAGTCTCCTGCCAGTAATAATTTTGCATTATTTACTTCTGGACTGCATTCTTTTTGAGGCTGGGAAACAGCCAGAGTTTGGGCATGGGACCCACCATATCAGTATTTGGACTCTGAAGACTACAGGTGTCAAAGGGAAAAATCAGCACAAATATACTTAACAGTCTCATGGAGTGCTACCTCTTTCACCCTCCGTTGCTGAGGTTATTATTGAAGATTTTTTTTTAAACAGTCCTTCAGCTATTTATGAACTTTAATTTAAATACAAGAGGAAGAAAAAGAATGTATACTCCTGCTTGGATTGTTTACTGAATAAAGTTCTCTAAAAACCATATATTCATCATTACTTGGAAGTAGGCCTGTGAGTAATCAGAATGAGTAAATCTTAGTAGTAACTGCCAGCCACCTCACATCCAGAGGCCCAGGCCCATCATGAATGAAGGGTCCTTCTCATACAAACATTCACACTATCTACCCTTAAGGCAGCCACTCAATCCCTCAGAACCATAACCAGTTCCAGCTATGCACACAGTCCCACCCTACAATGTAAGAGCCCTGGATTAGGATTCTAGAAACCGGGGTTCTAGAAGTAGCTCACAGTAAACTTACTGAAAGACCTGAGGTGCACTCAGGTCTAGAATCTACCTTGCTGATGGTATTATAAGACTCCATTGTGAATTGTGACAGTATGTAGAATTAAATATGGATACACAATAATATAACATGGTTAGGAAACAAGGTGAGAGAAATTGATACCAAAGTGAACACTTGGTCTCTAGGGTTAGTAGCCATACATGGTAGCCCAGGCCTAAAACGCCAGCTACTTGAGACCAAGGTAGGAAATTGGACAGAAAAGATCTTGCCTGAACAACTTAGATGCTATTTCAAGATGTGAGAAAAGACAGGTAGCTCACTGGTGTAGCACTTCTGTATCATTTACAACATCCTAAATTCAAAGTTCTTGAACATAATTAGCAGAAAGACATCAAAGAAGCAGTTTGAACATAGCATGAGTCCTGGAGGAACCATGGCATGTGCTCAGTCTGGCAACGGGGTTACTATTATACAATAGGGTCTGGAGCCATTCAGTCCTACTTTCCAGATCTAGTGCTCTCCTAACCTGTGGGCACCAGTTATGCACTGTGTACCTATATACGTGTAGGCGCGTATACACATCTAGTGTTTATGGCACTCACCTTTTAGAAATGGAGGGATCCTGTGAGGTCCCTTCTCTACTATATAGTGTGTTTGAGGCCAGCCTGGGCTATGAGACCTCTTTAAAAAAATCCTTTTATGTGTCCATTATGTCTTTAATCCCTTGCCATTTTTCCAGTATAGCCCCGAACTGCTGTCTGGAATACTACTCTCTTTTATCTGTTGTAATACTATCCATTAGGATGTATACACTTTCTCTGGTTTTCACCTCCAAAGGATTTGTACTTGTATAGTTTGAATTGAAATATATGAATGCATCCCAGCAAGGCTTAGTCTTTGTGTACTTTCTGGTTGACTAGTCATTGATCTTGGCAGATGCTCAGTCAACTGTAATGGAAAAATGGTTTAGGGACGAGAAGGCAAAAGGAGCCCTCCCGTGTCTGAAGTCCGGTCACTCTGATTTCAGACACTAAGTCCTGCAGTGAATTTATCTCTACCAGGTTCATATTCCATTACAATAACCCCCCCTCCAAGAAATAGTGAACACTTTGATTGCACTACCCTTTTATTTCCTAGGATGGAGGTGTCTCAAATCACATCCTGGGCCCCAGAGTCCCGTGTGTTGAGGTTTCTGGCCCCTCACAGAGATGGAATAAACATGTTTAGGGAGGCTCACTGGCCAGGCTGGCCAAGGTCCCTTTCAAGGGGATACACCATGAAGATGACATTGTCCCAGGGAGGGAGGGCAGGATGATCTGGTCTGACAACCTCAAAGCCCATGTAGCTAAAGGCTCGAAGCAGGGCACCTGTAGGACAGAACAAATAAATAATTAGCACATCCACTGAAGCTCAGCCCATGTAACTGTAAATTTTCTACAAGGGTGACTCTAGAAAACAGTGTAGTACAGGCTTAGGGTATACTTTGGAGTGATAGACATAGGCCTATCCTGCCTTCAGAATTCACGTTAACATTTGAGTTAACCTTTCAGATCTCCAGTTTGTAAAGTGGGCATGAGAAAAAGATGTGATTATTCAAGCACTTAGTGCAATGAAAGCATTCTAAACTCTAAAATGGTATCTGTTACTGCTGGCAATTGTCCAGCATCTGGTTTTTTTGGGTTTTGAGATCTCACTGTAGCCAATGTGACTTTGAGTGTGGAATTTTCCTGCCCCAGATTTCCAAATGCTAGGACACCAACTTATACTGCCATGCCCAGTTCATCTTGTCTTATATCCAATAAGAGTATAAACTCTGAAAGATGAGCACTAACATTGCATCTGGTTAAATATGTTCCTGTCCTAGCCTTTCACACATGTTATTCCCTACTGTGAAGGGTTGGTATATTTGACGTCTTTTATCAATCCACCACACTCCTTAAATGAATTCTCTGTAATTCTCCAGTGCTCCCAGCCTTGGGCCTGACACTACCTGCAGGGGCTTCTTGTTAGTTGTAATGGGACAAAATAGAAAGCTGTGTGCCTTCATTTCCTTTCCAGTAGAAGTGGGGATGGGGTACAGAGAGGAGGGACTTATCCAGGAAGCCTAAGCACACCTCTGTCCTTCCGATCACTTGGGAAGTTTACAAACACCGAGTCCACATTGGTCTTCTCCTCCACATACTCCAGCGTTGCTGTCAAACTAGAAGCCAGAGAGAAAATTAATGCTCAGCTAACTCAGAATCTAGAAAGTCAGAAGTACTAGTGAGTGTTTGCTCTCTAACTACAGAAACTGGGAAGTTGCTAGTGAAGTGGACTTTCTCTGAACTGAAGGGATTCCACCTGACTGAGGTGTATGTCATAGAAGGGGTCATGGTTGAAGGGACTGCTGAACAGCAAAAGTATTCCACTGTTCGGATGCTCACTTTGGTGTTCTGAGTCCAGCAACTGGCCCTCAGCCTAAAATTATTCCATGAACCCGAAGATCTTATCTGTGTGCTACTAGTGTGCTGTGTTTCTGGCCCAGCGCCTCAGTCACTATGACATAAATGGTGGAATACCCCATCTCTTCCCCACACCCATCCGTCTCACCTTTCTCGGTTGCCTTGATCCAAGGCCTGATACGGGATATCTAGGAAGAGTCGATGGTCACACAGAAGGCCATGCCAATGAGCAGAGGAATGGGGGGTGAGACGGAAGTGGAAATCTAACTGAACTGGATCTTGGTGAAGCAGTGGGTCAGTTGACAGCACTGTCAGGTTCCCAGCCTGAAAAAGAAGTAAATTGAAATGCCAGGCACTGGTGGCACACGCCTTTAGTCCCAGTGCTTGGGAGGCAGAGGCAGGTGGATATACAGAGCTAGTTCCAGGACAGGGTCACAGAAAACAAAAGCAAAACAAACAAAAGGAAGTAAATTGAAGTAATCACATCTAGGGCAAACTGGGGTGCTTTTGTAGAACCACCGAGAAGCAGATGAGGGAAGCTGAGCAAGTCAAAATCTTAAAAGATGTAACAATATTCCTTAGTCCTAGGAATAGCCATCCGATACTGAGTTCTACTTGATGTCAAATACCTAGGATTACTTTCTAGTGCTATATTCCCAGCACCATTTTTACGTTTGTTTGTTTGTTTAATTTTGTGGGGTTGGGGAATAAGGTCTTCCTAAGTTGCTGAAGCTAGCATTGTATTCACTTTGTATCCTAGGCAGCCCTTTCAAGAAACTGGGATTACAGGCCTTTTACCACAAGATACATATCTAAACTATTTTGTCCAGAAGTCCCACCATAATCTGCTATACCTTTGTTCCTACTTTTCCCATCCTGCAGTTTGCTACCAACTATACGGCCTTTAGATCTCTGGGCCAGAATCCATCTAGAAAGCCAGTAAATTTTACACATGAGCTCAGGGTTCCACCTAGCTCTAGTTTTTATGGTTATGAATGTTCCCTCAACAAAGTCATTACAGCAATCAAAGAGCTGCCCTATAGTATCACCAGCTCATGGTCTACTTACTGAATACAGTTCTTTAAGCTGGCGGTGGTCTTTATCCTGCTCAGTGCTTCTGCCCACCTGGAGGCCTCCTAGGGACTCAGGAGCACTGGAGGCAGTAATGGGGCCGGAGCGTCAGGTCCTCCTGTTCTTTGTAAGTGATGCTTGTT